TTGCTTTAATATTAAATTTGAGCTTCTTCAACTTTTAAATCTAAATTTAAATTATGGGCTGCCCCCGCCCAAAGATGACTTTCCTTCTCTCACAAACCGATGCTATCTGTTTACACTAGAGATTGCCAGAGATTAGAACTCAGGTGAATAGCAGTGTCTTTCTTGCTCTGATTTATCGCCTAGGAAGATGTTTCATTCTGAATCGCTGTTCTCAGCTGCTAAAACGTTTCAGACAAAGTAAACATTTAGTCTAAGTTTCACTAAGCTTACTCTAAAATTCTAAATCGGATATAGCAGATATAACTTCTTTAAGTACTCAATAAGCCAAACAACTAATACAACACCAAAAAGAAATCAAACCATTTCTTCTTGGCAATCTTCCCCATTAACCTGAAACTGGAAGGAGAGAAGAGTTGTTTCTTTAAAGACAGCTTTCTATCCACTATCCATTTTACCAGTCAACAAAGACTAGTTTACATTTGTACACAGTGCTTAGGTCTACCTTCAGACACTGTAATACTAATAGGTTTGAAAGTTCCATTAACTCAGAAAACTTACAAGTCTGAATATGCTGATGTTTGGTGCCTCTTCTAGTCATGTTTAAGTTCTAATATGACTAGAATATTATACATTTATTTAGCCTCATGCAGAGCTAACAAATACGCAATCCCACAGGTTCAGACCTTCATTTAGTCAGTGTGTGAACAGTCATACCAGACACACTTACTTGCTTCTACAAAAGCTTTCAAAGCTTCAAGTTGCTCGACGCCTGATAGCTGAATGGCTTTTTCCAATATTTGACGATATCTGCCCACAGATTAAAAAAGAAAAAGTCATATTTCATATTTTTTTTAAATTAAGTATTCCTGTTTCTGTGCTTATTTTCTTCCTTAGAGTGCTTTTTCTATTTACATTTGCTGTGTTTTCGAGGTGCGTGTTTGCCCAAGTGTTTATGCTAAAATTCCAGGAACGTTCGCCTGGAACTGGTATCTGTGTCTTTTTAAAGTTCCAGGACTAGTTTCCACCGTAACATAGTTACAAATCTGTTAGTATATCTGCAATGAAAAATGCCTTTTAAGAAAATCAAAACCCCAACCTATTCCTGGGATAGTGCTTTTCTGTCTTGCCATAAAGAGAAAGCACAGGAAACGTAAAGAACGTTATATCCCTCGCATATTAAAATCAGTAACTGGTGACAGAAGTGCAAAAATGGCAGATTCAGGGGGAACAAGAAGCAGTGGTGGGTGAGAGATGGAAGTAAACAGTATACTATAGACACTTGATGGTATCATAGGCAGGGAATATACCCTATTTTTATAAAGTATTTATTATTGAAATGTTTAAATATTAACATATCATACTCACTGCAGCTTTCATGTAGTAGTTTTATAAGGCCGGTGCAACTCTTACTGGGCCATAATCTTAACATGTACAACATTGAAAGGAGTTACATTCATGTTGAAGCTGCATTTTCAGGGGAACGTTTCAGGAATTTTTAAATATGAAGTGCCTAGATCTGAGGCAATTCCTCTAGAAAATAAGGAATTGGACTGGTAATGAAGGAATTTCAAGTGAATTGAAAGAAAGAAACTAGGTAATATACTGCACAGTGATTAAGTCAAATCCCACATCTCATATCCAAAATACCTTACTTAAATTTAAATTTTCATTGTTGACTTTTTTAGTAAAAACACATTGGAGGAGTTCTGCACGCATATGAAGCAATTGTGGGAAAGAAAATCCCCACGGTCTATCACTTTTGCTCAGTTTTCGGACAGATAGCTGAAATCGGACAGGCACCCAGAATGGGGTGGGGTGTAGGAGTTACAGTGAAGCGGTAAGGCCCAGCACAACTGCCAAGGGGCCTGCGCTAGGACAGTGAGAGCACAGAGGCACTTTTCATTGAAAACAATAATAAAGACAAGCAGGAAAAAGAGGACGAATCATATTATTTCAAGAGCTGACCCAGAAGCACCCTACCGTCAGGGCGAAGAGCTATGCCTGCTGGCCCGGAGGCCGGGAGC